ACTGAAGGCCCACAGGGCTAGGGGCTATTTTCTTGCTGGTGCTTGTTATCTATAGCACTTAGCACAATGCTAGGCACACAGCGACACTCAAAGAATGTTACTAAGTCAACACTTGTCAGGAGTAATATATGGGTAGGGTTAGGGTTAGGGTGGTGGTCCTGAGAAGCTGCCACCCCAGTAATTACCACTACCATTATTTATTTATTTTTATTTTTTGAGATGAAGTCTCGCTCTGTCACCCAGGCTAGAGTGCAGTGGCGCGATGTCAGCTCACTGCAACCTCTGCCTCCTGGGTTCAAGCAATTCCTGCCTCAGCTCCCCAGGTAGCTGGGATTACAGGCACCCACCACCACACCTGGCTAAGTTTTGTATTTTTAGTAGAGACAGGGTTTTGCCATACTGGCCAGGCTGGTCTTGAACTCCTTACCTCATGTTCTGCCTGCCTCAGCCTCCCAAAATGCTAGGATTATAGATGTGACTCACTATGCCTGGCCACCACCATTATTAATCAAGCCTTGGACACTTGACACACACCAGAGACTGAACAATGAAAACCACAGATGTCTTTTTGGACTGTGCCATATTTTTTTAAAATTGGCAACACAGGGTCCATACTCCTTCTTCATTGGCAGAAAGGAACAGGGACTGTGCCCTTTAGAAATGGGCTTGTAAGTCTGGTTTGCCAGTGTCCACCAACCTGCTTGGCCCCGAAGGTGCTCGAGTTTGCAGCCTCTGGACATACACCGTCTTGTTTAATTCTTGCTTGAACTCTGTGAAGTAAATTGATGCTATATGGATGAGAAAACTGAGGCTCAGAGACTTCCCAGAGTCAAGACTGAACGCAGGTGCGTGGGTCTCCAAGGCTGGCGATGCTTCCGCTCTGCGCATTGCTGCTTGCAGGGAGAGGTATGCGGAATGCCGGGAGGTGATGTCGCGGGTCTCATCTAGGACTATACGATTCAAAGATTTTATTTTATTTTATTAATCTATTTCTTTGAGGTGGAGACCTGCTCTGTTGCCCAGGCTGGAGTGCAATGGCGCGATCTCGGCTCACCACAACCTCCGACTCCCGGGTTCAAGCGATTCTCCTGCCTCAGTCTCCTGAGTAGCTGGGATTACAGGCACTCACCACCATGCCCACCTAACTTTTGTATTTTTAATAGAGACGGAGTTTCACCATGTTGGCCACGATGGTCTCAATCTCTTGACCTGGTGATCCACCCGCCTCAGCCTCCCAAAGTGCTGGGATTGCAGGCGAGAGCCACCGCACCTGGCCCATTCTTTAACTTTCTTTCTGGGGGAAATCTGTAGGTGCATAAAGGAGGTGGTTCACTCTTTTTCTAGCAAACTGGTGCTACTTAGAAAGGCGAAGATGAAGGGCTAGGAAAAGGTTACATTACAAAGGAAATGAGAACAAGAACTAGCAAAATGCAGGTGGTAGCAAAACATAAATGATCCCAAAATTAAGGCAGTGAAGCAAAGTCTCTTCCTCTTTGGATTGCTTCTCTTGACCCCACCGAGCTGCTCCCCTGCCCTCCCCTTCTGATGGGAACTTGGGATGATCTGTGCAGCCTAGAGGAGGAAGGGCAGTGGGGATGAGACCTGGGCGGAACCAGCGGGCTGTTCTGAGCTGCCATGGGGTCTGTCTGGAACTTAGAGACATTATGTGATATAACCTGGCATCTCTGTGCCTCAGTTGCTTCTGAGGAGCTCATTTCCCCCTCATTGGTTGTGCTGAGGCTTAAACAGCTACTACATGTTAAGTATTCATAACTTGAACCCGGGAGGCAGAGGTTGCAGTGACCCAAGATCGCACCACTGCACTCCAGCCTGGGCAACAGAGCAAGACTCTGTCTCAAAAAAAAAAAAAAAAAAAAAAAAAGAGACAGAAAATCGGTTTAATTGGCTGATGGTTCCACAGGCTGTCCAGGACTCACAGCTCCAGCATCTGCTTCTGGAGAGGACTTGGGAAGCGTTTACTCTTGGTGGAAAGTGAAGGGAGAATGCACTTCACTGGCCAGAGCAGGAGCAAGAGTGTGGGGAGGGAGGAGCCACACACTTTTAAACGACCAGACGTCACGGGAACCCACTCACTACCGTGAGGACAGCACCAAACCATTCATGAGGGATCCGCCCATGATCCAAACAATCCCCACTAGTCCCCACCTCCAGCACTGGGGACTGCAGTTCCACGTGAGATTTGGGCAGGAACAAATACCCAAACTATGTCAACATGGAAATAAGTAACCCGGAAAAGGAGAACTTTGTTTTCTAAGTGGGCAAGAAAAGACAGTGACAAGAATTATATTTAGAAAAGGAAGCAGATGGCAGTAAAACAATCGTGTCTCAAGAATCAATACTTACGGCCAATTAAGAAAAGCAAATGTTTGACTTCTCTGAGACCTACTTTGTATTTCAGCCTTTTTAAGGAGTTTCAAATTCTGCATAATCAGATTCGTTACCGGGAATTTTAAAATGACTTTTAGCGTAACTCCTTTAGATTGGATAACACTCTATAATCCTGGTGTTATCAGTTTGCCGAGTGAAGTCAGGGCTCATCTTTGCCTATTTGTTCACTTGGCATTTCCCTGCTTTTATTTTTTCATGCCAGCGAGCAGAAATCTACACCCATGTTTAACCTGTAAGGAAAGATATAACAGTTTATATCTTTCAGCAACAGGTGGGTATTTTGTTGAATTTAGACAGTAGGTCTTACATGGCCAGCAGCAAGACAGAATAAAGTAATTCAGGCTTCCCCTCTGCCGCACACCTAGGCTAAATCAAGAACGAATTCTAATACAAATGCTTTGTGTGTGCGTGCGTGTGTGACCCCTAATCTTTGCCCTTGACTCGAGCTAAAGTTTCCTGGCTCAAGTCATAGCCACCAAATACCCCAAGACAGCTACTGAGTAGAATTTTATCTCTTCTAGTCAGACAAATTGCAACCTCTCAAACTGAATTAATAAATGATACAACAGCTGAGAGAATATATCATTTCCACACTTTTTTTTTTTTTTTGAGACAGAGTCTTGCTCTGTAGCCAGGCTGGAGTGCAGCGGCGCGATCTCGGCTCACTGCAAACTCCACCTCCCAGGTTCAAGCGATTCTTCCATCTCAGCCTCCCGAGCAGCTGGGACCACAGGCACGTGCCACCACGCCCAGCTATTTTTTGTATTTTCAGTAGAGATGGGATTTCACCATGTTGGCCAGGACGGTCTCAATCTCTTGACCTCGTGATCCGCCCGCCTCGGCCTCCCAAAGTGCTGGGATTACAGGCGTGAGCCACTGCACCCGGCCCATTTCCACACTAAAATGTGGGTTACAAATTCAAATGTTAGGTAGGTCCCTTCTTACTTAGGGGGACAGGATAAGTAACTACTACTAAATAGTAACCATTTATGCTTCCCAGCATCCGTTACTATAATGGATTTACTAAGAAAAACCTAAGAAGTTGAAATTATAAGCTTTCCAGTAAACAGAGTGATTTGTGATTTTTAAAAACATGTCAGTATGGCCTCTAGACTAGTGGATAACAGGGGCATATTTGTTTAACAAGGAATAGATCACAACAAACTAAGGAAAAAAATACTTAACATGTAGAAATGGATGTAACAAAGAATTTGCAGGTGGTTTTATCTCCCTCCCTCCCTCTGTTCCTTCCCTTCCCTCCTTCCCTCCCTCTTTCTCTCTTCTTCCTTCCTTCCTCTATCTCTTTCTTTTGATGGAGTCTCACCCTGTCACCCAGGCTGGAGTGCAGTGGCACGATCTCAGCTCACTGCAACCTCTGCCTCCCAGGTTCAAGCGATTCTCCTGCCTCAGCTTCCCCAGTAGCTGGGATTACAAGTGCCTACCACCACACCCAGCTAATTTTTGTATTTTTAGCAGAGACAGGTTTTGCCATTTTAGCCAGACTGGTCTCAAACTCCTGACCTGAGGTGATCCACCCGCCTCGGCCTCCTAAAGTACCAGAATTAAGGTGTGAGCCACCACACCTGGCCATTATCTTTCTTTTCTTTGCCATCCCGAATAAGAGCCAAGAATGGCCCTACCATGGGACTTGAAAGAGTAAAATAAAAGGTACAAAGAAGCGAGATTTTTATTATGGCTTTTTATAGGATTCTTATCAGTTTATGATCATGACTTTTTTTTTTTTTTTTTTAATTTTTGAGATGGAGTCTAACTCTGTCACCCAGGCCAGAGTGCAGTGGCGTGATCCTGGCTCACTGCAACCTCTGCTGCCTGGGTTCAGGTGATTCTCCTGCCTCAGCCTCCCAAGTAGCTGAGATTACAGGCATGTGACACCACCCCTGGCTAATTTTTGTATTTTTAGTAAAGATGGGGTTTTGCCATGTTGGCCAGGCTGGTCTTGAACTCCTGACCCCAGGTGATATGATCATGACTTTTAAGCCTGTCAGTTTCATCTTTAATACTGATGTGACTCATGGAGTATTTTGAATATCAAACTGTTTTTTTTTTTTTTTTTTTTTAAGAGAAGGGGGTTTCACCACGTTGGCCATGATGGTCTCAATCTCCTGACCTCACGATTCGCCTGCCTTGGCCTCCCAAAGTGCTAGGATTACGGGCATGAGCCACTATGCCTGGCCCCAAATTGATTTTTAATTGGAACGCCAGTTCCATTTCCTAATTCATATGAGACTATTCAGACCAGAACAAGAGACCTAAAATTTGAGTGTCTTTTCCATAAAGACAGTGAAACATTCAGAAGAGCAGGTTTTATTATAATATTTTCTCAACAAAGGAAAAACGAGTCAGAATGGAATGATTAAATTAATTAATTTACTTCTGATAGTCACAGAATATCCCCCAATTATAGTCCACTAGTTTTTCTTTTTGCTGGTGTTACCTACTTATATGAACTCTGGGGTTTTTTGCACTGGACTGCAGTGGCAGGATCTCAGCCTCCACCTCCCAGGATCGAGCGATTCTCCTGCCTCCGCCTCCTGAGTAGCTGGGATTCCAGGCGCGTGCCACCATGCCCAGCTAATTTTTGCATTTTTAGTAGAAATGGGGTTTCACCATGGGGGTTATTCATGTTTTGGCAATGATCAAGCATCACTTTGTAGTTGGCTAGAACTCTGGAGCCCCCTAGTGGTGTTCTCTTCAAAATGCCGGTTTCCACTAAATGGTTCATGGAATTTTGAGTTACCAACAGAACTGAAAAAAGGACGCAGGATCCGTATCTCACGTAACAAGAGTAAACACTGTTTGGTGCAACTTCGTTTCAGTTATGTATCTATGAATGCACGGTCAAGAGCACCTTTCAGTCAGAAACCTTCAGTATCCAGGAAGCTACAGGAAGCAGGGTGAAGACCAGGCTGTGCCCAGTGAGGCCACAGGGTTCCCTTCCCAGTACATGAACAGCTCCAGTTCTCCTTTTCCAGGTTACTTATTTCCATGTTGACACAGTTTGGGTATTTGTTCCTGCCCAAATCTCACGTGGAACCCATCCCCAGTGCTGGAGGTGGGGGCCGGTGGGGGTTGTTTGGATCATGGGCGGATCCCTCATGAACGGTTTGGTGCTGTCCTCACATGGTAGTGAGTGGGTTCCTGTGACGTCTGGTGATTCAAATATTCTCAAAGAAACCCAGTGCACGTTGTGATTGCTTATTCAGCAATGGCGAGCACTGCGCCCCGAGCTATCTCATCCCAGGAACTGAATGTCAGCTAGGTACACTGTCATTTCCTCCACTGCAGAAAGTCTCAGTGTCCAGGGAATCCTTTCGTCTTAACATTTAGGGTCACAGCTGTCTTCCCAAGTTGACCTGACTACCAGTTCTGAACAAAAGAAAAAGTATTAATCAGAATATTATTTAGCAAGTATCACATGAACTACTGACCAATCTGAGCTACCAGTTAAGTTAATCATCAGTGGCTGTTTATTTGCCAAAATTGTATGTAGCGTGCTTCTAAATGGAATACAAGATACTGATCAAAATATCTAGAGAAAAAGAAAAGATTTCTTTTGCAGTTAGTACAATAGGAGTTAAGGCACATCTGGCTGCAAAATGAACATTATTACTTATAAAGCAGATGAAAATACTGGGTTTTGGGTAGTAAAATTAAAGCCTCTATGAAAGTGGTCCAGCCAAGAGTGGGTATCATGTCAGTCTGGGGCAGATGTAAGCACCAGGCACAAAACAAAGGCACAGTTAGGAACCCATTTTGATATACTTTCAGAATTAACTACAGATGTAAGCTCTGAAATGTACACTGTTGTTTAGGACTGGGCTGTCCAATAAATAGCCACTAGCCACATAGGGCTATTTACATTTAAATTAATTAAAATTAAATGAAATAGGCTGAGTGCGGTGGCTCACGCCTGTAATCCCAACACTTAGGGAAGCCGAGGTGGGTGGATCACTTGAGGTCAGGAGTTCAAGAACAGCCTTGCCAACATGGTGGAATCCCCCTCGTCTCTACTAAAAATAAAAAAATTAGCTGGGAGAGGTGGCAGGCGCCTGTAATCCCAGCTACTAGGGAGGCTGAGGCAGGAGAATCACTTGAAACCAGGAGATGGAGGTTGAGGTGAGCCAAGATCGCACCATTGCACTCCAGCCTGGGCAACAAGAGCAAAACTCCATCTCAAAAAAAAAATAATAATTAAATTAAAAAGAAAACTCGGTTCCTCAGTTGCATTAAGTGCATTTCAATATTCACATGTTATCTGTCACTCCTGTATTAGACAGTACAAATATAGAAGATTTCCATCATCACAGAAAGTTCTATTGGGTAGCCTTGGTCTAAGACTTGAAACTTTTACCAGTGGAGGGAAATCTGGAAAAACGTATTGTGGTAACCCGGATTTAACACTCCTTTCTGCTCAGTTCATCCCACAGACTCTAATATAAGTCACGAAAATATGTTTGTCACTATAGTTCTCTACTAAAATGGATCACACAACCAATAAAAAATGTTCTTGCTTTAGGAACTTAAAATATCAAATAATCAGAACAAGAGACAAATATGGAAAGACTCCTTCTTTACCCAAACAACCTGCTGTTTCGCTTATAAATCTTTGTCTGAAATCAGGCCCATGCCATTTCAGACCACGACCTTGTCATCTACTTCTATGAACTACCGCATTTTTTAAAAAAACTAAGTCATTTTTACACTGGTAACAAGGCATGGTTCAATTTACTAGTGATAAAGCCAATATAACTAGGCTAGGGTCAATATAAACTACGACCAGAAAATGCTGAGAATATTCCAGTTATAAGCACAAGCTATGAGCAAACATGACTCTAAGAAAGATTTACAGGTAAGTTAAAGACAACCAAATCTAACAGGATGACTGATTTTTCCCTGAAATGTCAATGGCATATAAAGCCTAGAATATGAGCTACATTTCACATTTGCTTTTCCACTGTATTCTATGAGTCCTTCCAAGTACAGCTTCAATATCATGTTACAATGTGATTAAATTATTTTCCTGATTCATCTGCCTGGCTGACAAAACCTTGAGAAACCATACAGTCACGCACCGGATAATGACATTTCAGTCAACGACAAATTGCATTTCCAGTGGTGGTCCCACAAGTTTATACTGGATACTGGGGCTGAGAAATTCTTGTCACCTAATGACTTCATAGCCATTGTAAAGTTACAGCCTACTTTATTTTTATATTTATTTACTTATTTATTTGAGATGGAGTTTCATTCTTGTTGCCCAGGCTGGAGTGCAATGGTGTGACCTTGGCTCACCACAACCTCTGCCTCCCGGGTTCAAGTGATTCTTTTGCCTTAGCTTCCCAAGTAGCTAGGATTATAGGCGTGCGCCACCAGGTCAGGCTAATTTTGTATTTTTAGTAGAGACAGGGTTTCTCCATGTTGGTCATGCTGGTCTCCAACTCCTGATCTCAGGTGATCCACCTGCCTCAGCCTCCCAAAGTGCTGGGATTACAGGCGTGAGCCACCGCACCCAGCAATTACTTTATTTTTAAAAATAAATGTAGTGTAGCCTACATGCAGAGTGTTTATAAAGGCTACTATAGTTTTGTTTTGTTTTGTTTTTGAGACAGTGTTTCGCTCTTGTTGCCCAGGCTGGAGGGCAATGGTACTATCTCAACTCACCACAGCCTCCATCTCCCGGTTCAAGTAATTCTCCTCCCTCAGGCTCCCAGGTAGCTGAGATTACAGGCATGTGCCACCATGCCCAGCTAATTTTGCATTTTTAGTAGAGATGGGGTTTCTTCATGTTGGTCAGGCTGGTCTCGAACTCCCGACCTTAGATGATCCACCTGCCTTAGCCTCCCAAAGTGCTGGGATTACAAGCGTCAGGTGTGAGCCACCACACCCAGCAATTACTTTATCTTAAAAATAAATGTAGTGTAGCCTGTGTGGAGAGTGTTTATAAAGTCGACTGCAGCATATAGTAATGTCTTAGGCCTTCACATTCGCTCACCACTCACTCACGGACTCACACAGAGCAACTTCCAGTCCTACAAGTTTCTCCACTGTAAGTGCCCTATACAAGGGTGCTGATTTTGTCACTGATACTGTATCTTTACTCTACCTTTTCTATGTTTAGATATACAGATACCATTGTGCTATAACCGCCTATAGTATTCAGTATAGCGGAGCAATGGGCTATACCACACAGCCTAGGTTTGTAGTAGGCTACACCATCTATGTTTGTATAAGTCACTCTGTGATCTTTCAGAACACACCCCAGTTGTTTAGTGACACATAACGCCTATGAATGTATTTCACCGGAATAAAAGCAAGGAATTCAAAGATGACAAATAATCAAATACACAGTTTTCACAAGTAGTGGGCAGATCACAGCTGATGATCACTACAGACACTACTAAACATAAGGATCAAGAACCTCAGATGTGATAGTACATATTGAAATTATGTTTCAAAAAGCAACTCCTGCACACTCTTCTAGGCTCCAAAAGAGTAATGAACTGGGCCAGGCACAGGGGCTCACTCCTGTAATCCTAGCATTTTGGGAGGCCGAGATGGGCAGATCATGAGGTCAAGAGAGTGAGACCATTCTGACCAATATGGTGAAACCCTGTCTCTACTAAAAATACAAAAATTAGCTAGCTGTGGTGGCACGCACCTGTAGTCCCAGCTACTCAGGAGGCTGAGAAAGGAGAATCACTTGAACCCGGGAGGCAGAGGTTGCAGTGAGCCGAGATCGCGCCACTGTACTCCAGCCTGGTAACCGACTGAGACTCAGTCTCAAAAGCAAACAGAGTAATGAACTATATATAATGGCATAGTTCACCGTGGATCTTTATCCCCCTACGACTTAACTGGCAAAGTCTACTATGAACTTTTCCCCTAAACCAACTTTTGCTAGATAGATACTGTAATTAGCTAAAGAATTGGAATACTTACCAATAAGTCAGTAGCAGTCAGGGGTTTGTCCTTTATCTGAATTCCCGCCATAATGTTTTCTTCCTTCTGTCACTACCTGCAAAACATCACCAACCCCTAATTCTCAAGAGTCATTTGTCAAAGTCAGTACTTAAACCGGTAAACATGTCTGAGACCAAACATCCCTGCTGCTAGCGCCATGGCAGACAGGGCTTGAAAAGCAACAGTTTTATTTTGAGCAGGGAGCAAAGACAATGCAGCACTTCACAGCTACAATGTAACTAGAACCTGCCTCAGTTTACTAGGAAAACACAGTGCACCCTTGAAGGCAACAGGTCTGAACTGGGCAGGACCACTTGTAAGTGGATTCTCCTCTGCCTCTGCCACCCTTTGACAGCAAGAACAATCTCTCCTCTCCCTCCTCCTCCTTAGCCTACTTGACAGGGACATGAGGGAGATGAAGGCCTTTATGAGGATCCACTTCCACCTAACGAACACTAAATATATTTTCTCCTTTACCATTTTCTTAATAACATTTTCTTCTCTCTAGCTTACTTTATTATAAGAATACATTGTATCATATATATAACACACAAAACAGGTACTTAATCGACTGTTATTAGTAGGGCTTTTGGCCAACATTGTTGGTAGTTAAGTTTTTGGGGAGTCAAAAATTATATGCAGATTTTTGACTGTATGGGGGTTGGTGCCCCAATCATGTTGTTTAAGGCTCAACTATAATCAGATATTAATAGCAATACTTAATTTGCAATACTAGGGAATAGCCCTTATCACACTAGAAACAGACCATGCTTTTTCTCAGAAGGCAGGATATCTTTCACTCTGTGTTCTGCAAGGAACAACCTGACTGGTTAATCTCTCATCTGTCAAAAGCACATACAATTTCCTTCCTTATAGTATTTACAAGAGGAAAATGTAAATTCACGTTAAAGTTGGAATAAAAAGCCATTTGATTTCTATACCTCATCCCTACCGTTGGAAAAGACTAGTTATTCGTTGATTTTACTAATTCTGTCTAAACATAGATATTACTGGACCAAATCTTAGAACAAAGTACTGTTGTTAAAAAAAAGGTTCAACTCAGGCTGGGCACAGTGGCTCACACCTGTAATCCCAGCATTTTGGGAGGCCGAGACAGGTGGATCACCTGAGATCAGGAGTTCAAGACCAGGCTGGGCAACATGGTGAAACCCTGGTTGAAAACTCTGGTGAAACACGGTGGCACCTGTGATCCCAGCTACTTGGGAGGCTAAAGCAGGAGAATCGCTTGAACCTGCGAGCCAGAAACTGCAGTGAGCCGAGATCACGCCATTGCACTCCAGCCTGGGTGACAGAGTGAGACTCCATCTCAAAACAAAAACAAAAACAAATAAAAAAGAGGTTCAACTCAGTTTTTCTTCTATCTGGGACAGTTGTTTAGTTGTTCTTTCTTCTTGTGTTTTCTCTTATAGCTTTATTACAAATGCTAAGAAATGATACTAGTTTCGCAATTTTAGAACAGAGCTTAAACAAGAAGGTAAATTTGAAATCCCTGGCTATGGCTTTTACGTGTATCAATTAGAAAAACGTTACCGTCTTTCAAAATTATTGTAAAACACTGATCCTATCAAGGGCCAATTCTTCTTTCTTCACCAGAATTTGCAATACATCTGTCAGGAACTTCTTGGTAACTTCCAACATATCGATTAGTATCGAGGCAGAAAGCAACACAATCTTTAAAAGAGACCATGACTGGCCGGGTGCAGTGGCTCACGCCTGTAATCCCAGCACTTTGGAGGGCCAAGGCGGGCGGATCACTTGAGGTCAGGAGTTTGAGACCAGCCAAACTGGCCAACAAGGTGAAACTGGGTCTCTATCGAAAACACAAAAATTAGCTGGGCATGGTGGCTCATGCCTGTACTCCCAGCTACTGGTCAGAAGGCTGCGGCAGGAGATTAGAGGCGGACACTGAACCCGAGAGGCAGAGATTGCAGTGATCTCAGATAGCGCCACTTCACTCCAGCCTGTGTGATGAAGTGAGACTCTGAAAAAAAAAAGAAAAAAAAAAAAAGACAATGACTAATTATGTTGACAAATCAATTAGGCAGATATAATAGTTTCGTAACAATACTTAGAGAAATAATGTTTGAGACCAAGCGTCCATGTCTTACTATAGAACTGAGTGAGACAGAGATTGTGGGAAACAATTGCTTTGAGCAGGGGGAAAGGACCATATAGCACTTCACAGCTATATCGTAACAATTAACCCAACCTGCCAGCTGGAGAAAAACCATGTGCACACCTGAGTACTTGTATTTCTAGTAAATCTCATGGATTTGATCCTTAATTCGTTGGTTCAACATTTTTATCTGCTTCATCCAAAACAAGCTGATCCATTTGAAAAGTTAGAAAAAAATGTTTCACTTAACTGTGAGTTGGACATCATGACTTCCTTCCAATTAGTACAGTGTGGAAGGAGGGCAAAAGAGTAACTTTCCAGCATAGAACCCTTTCGAATACGAACTCAGCCATGTAATCAAGGTCACCACCAACAGTCTTTACTCTCAATCTGATGTGATGAGAATCACACTTTATATCTGTGGTCTTCCTCAGATAGAAAAGCCCCAAATCCAAGTCTAATCCAGAGGAAAACGTCAGTCAATTCTAACAGAAGGATATCCTACAAAATACCTGACTAATACTCCTCAAAACTGTCAAGGGCATCAAAAATAAGAAAATTCTGAGACTGTCACAGCCTAGAGTCTAAAGACACATGACACCAAAGTGTAATGAATGTGGTATCCTGGATAAGATTCTGGAACAGAAAAAAATGCCTTACATAAAAACTGAGAAGACCTGAATAGGTTGTGGACCTTAGTTCATAATTACACATCAATGTTGCTTCATTAATTGTGTTACACTGGCCAGGCCCGGTGGCTCGCACCTATAATCCCAGCACTCTGGGAGGCCAAGGTGGGTGGATCACAAGGTCAGGAGTTTGAGACCAGCCTGGCGAATATGGTGAAACCCCGTCTCTACTAAAAATACAAAACTTAGCTGGGCATGGTGGCACATGCCTGTAGTCCCAGCTGCTTGGGAGGCTGAGGCAGGGGAATCACTTGAACCCAGGAGGCGGAGGTTGCAGTGAGCCGAGATCGCGCCACTGCAGTCCAGCCTGGGTGACAGAAAAAGACTATATAAATAAAGTATCATACTAACCATAATATAGTTACACCACAAATTTACCATACTAACATAAAATGTTAATAACAGGAATGACAGGGTGCAAGGTATATGGGAATCGTACTATCTTCTCTGTAAACCTGCAGCTTTTTTCTGGAAACCTAAAACTGTTGTAAAAATCATACAAAGTCTATTTTTAAAAAGTCTTAGTATCCCCGCCTAGATATTCATGTGTAGCAACTTGCTTCTTTAGGCTATTTTCCCTTCTCTACCCTACATATGACTTGTTAAAAAGTATCTTAGGAAAAATCAAAGTAGACATTTTCTACATTATTCTTCTGTGTTTAAGATGTACAAACAGTGAATACGCTCCACATTTACATCTCCAGGGCAAGTTCTTCTGATATATATTCACTGGTTTTCATTCACTTTAAAGACAAGTCTCTTTCTAGTAGGAGACTACGACTTATACAGGCTTGATCTTAATGAAGCCTACCACTTTGTTAAAACAAGCTTCTACTTCATAGCTAATACAGCAGTGAGCTTTGAAAACAGACAGCATGCAGATATCACAAACGACAGATTCCCAACTAATAACACGTCACTGCGGTTTTCATGTTGGACACTGCATTTCAATTTGACAACAGTGAACACAAAAGGCATGGATCCTAGTCTACCCAGAAAGAAAGCTTCAGTGTGTCAATCTGTTGAGATACAGCCCCTATATACCTGTATATGCAAACCTAGTTTCCGTTTAATTTGAAACAAAAACTCCCTGTTAGCAGGGACAATAGTTAAAAAGAATGTTCTGAATGGACTACTTTATACTAAGCCTTAAGTATAAAGTTTTATATTTTTATGAAACCCGAGGTATCTGGGAAGTTACGTCCCCTGAGGGCAGACCTTAACCAATGACTTGGTAGAGATGTAAACACACCAGCTTGCTGGTTCTCTTGTACGGACAACTCCAAGGACTGACAGTGTACACTGACTTCAGAGTTCAGCAGCATAGAGCCACCTCCAAGGGGACATGCTTAGAGCAGCTTGCTCAGTGGCTTTTCCTTCCCTTTCTATTCTATTTCTCTACTCCCTTGGGATTTTTTTCCTGGAAACCTTCTAATTATTTTCACAGACATTCCTGTCTTAGGATTTACTTCTGGGTTTCTAAGACACATGACATAATAAGTTTTTTGGTTTTTTTTGTTGTTGTTGAGACGGAATCTCGCACTGTCACCTGGGCTGGAGCGCAATGATGCAATCTGGGCTCGCTGCAAACACTCTGCCTCCCAAGTTCAAGCGATTCTTCTGCCTCAGCCTCCCGAGAAGCTGGGATTACAGGCGTGTGCCACCATGACCAGCTAAATTTTTTATTTTAGTAGAGACAGGGTTTTGCCATGTTGGCCAGGCTAGTCTCGAACTCCTGACCTCGTGATCCCTGCCCCCTCGCCCTCCCAAAGTGCTGGGATTACAGGCCTGAGCCACCATGCCTGGCCTATAAAAAGTATTTTTAAGTGGATGACTCTTATCTTTAAAAGCAGTATAATTTACTATTTTTTTGACATATTCTGATGTAAAAGATAAAGTCACTTTGCCATTGCTGAATGTAAATAGAGAAAATTTATTTAGAAAAGTTTTGCCGGGCACGGTGGCTCAAGCCTGTAATCCCAGCACTTTGGGAGGCTGAGGCGGGTGGATCACAAGGTCGAGAGATCGAGACCATCCTGGTCAACATGGTGAAACCCCGTCTCTACTAAACATACAAAAAATTAGCTGGGCATGGTGGCGCGTGTCTGTAATCCCAGCTACTCAGGAGGCTGAGGCAGGAGAATTGCCTGAACCCAGGAGGCGGAGGTTGCGGTGAGCCGAGATCGCGCCATTGCACTCCAGCCTGGGTAACAAGAGCGAAACTCCCTCTCAAAAAAAAAAAAAAAAAGAAAAGTTTTAAAATTCAAATTGAAATATGAAAGATCTTCATTCTTTACCTGTGATACGTGCGTGCTACAGATATTTTTTCCCAATTCAGTTTTTTTTTTTAGTTGTCTTTTGACTTCATGATGTATTCATCACACCGTTTGTTTTATGTTTTTTATTTTACTGCCTATGGATTTTTGAGTCATAGTTAGAAGGTCGTTTTCTTTTAGCATGTGTATTGTTTCATTTTTCACATTTAGATCCTTGATCCATTTAGACTTTATTTTTGTTATGCTATGAGGTGTGGATCTAATTTTATCTTTTTCCAAACAGCCAACCAGTTTTGGCCCAGCTCTGTGTATTACAAAGCCCAGCTCTGCCCCGATGTTATGTGATACCACCTTTTCTTTACCTTTCCACGTGCACTTAGGGTTATATCTGGATTTTCTATGCCATTCTACTTGTCTTTTTATATATTCACACACTAGTTCCACATCTTAGAGAGATTTTGTAACCTCTATCGTTGTAAAACCTCTATGACTGCCTTTAGAACCTGTATAATACAGTTTTAGTTACAGAAGCTAAAGACAAAAATAACTGTAAACCAACATGGAATTCTGGCTAGTTGGTCTGTTTTTCAAAGTCATACAGGTTAGGAATTTTGAAACTACTTTTTGTATACGATTGAGCAAATAAGTGAATATCTTGTGGATAATGACAGCCAGCTTTCTACTCTCAGAAAACACAGTTACAATTACAGAAAGGGCAGATCTGATTGAACCCTGAGATGCTGCATTGGAACTGAGATCACTGTAAGAACTCAGCTGTTTTTTAAACACACATGTAGGTAGGTCGGTAAGTACACAGATAGAGAGAAAACATACAGATGAGCCTGGACTGAAGTGCGTATGGAAGTGTGGGGGTGCGTGCCTGTGCACATAGAGAAATGTACATGTATATACGCATACATACACGCACATGCATAGACACGCGTGTGTGTTTAAATTCCTAGCGCTGTCTGCTGAGGCAGTCTAGAAGCAACAGCATCCTAGCGGCAACCAACCACCTGCACAGCCCAGACACCGGCTGTAAAACAGCATTCTCCAAAAAAAGGAACGGGGATCTCTGGAGAAATGTCTGATTCCAAGGCAGGAGCAGAGCACACGATGAGCTTGGAACATCCTCTGCCCTTAAACAGGGAATGACGGGGACATGCTAAAAAGACACGGGAACCAGAAGTAAACAAATGAATACACGGGGGAGGAGGGAAAGCGCTTCCTTACTGTGGAAAAAGGGAAACCGGCAAAGCGTTCCGCAGCTCGTGCCGCGCGGGTCGGGGAAGACAGAGGCCCGGCTGCGGGAGGACGCCCTGCGGACGCGGGACCGGAAGCCGAACCCCCCCGACTAGCGGTCGCCATCCGGTCCTCCGGCTGGAGCCGCGTTCCCCCGCACCTGCCACTGCCCCGCCCCCACGCACCGCTCCGCGCCGCTTTTCGTCCTGTCACCTTGACAGCAGCGGGCTCAGGCAGTGCCGCCACCGGTTTCTCGCTGCCGCCGGCAGCACTGACGCTGCAGAGGCCGCCGCCATGTCCTCGGGGCCCGGCCGCTAGTGGAAGTGCGGCTGCGTCTCCGTCGCCCGCATCACCTCCGTTCGGTGTGAAAGCCTCTTGTCCCCCTCTGGCCACCATCCAGGTCTGAACCA